GGGGGGGGGGCGATAATTACCGGTAGCATGCATAAATAGCTAGTCCGCATACGATGTGCTTCAGTAACCCACCTGCAGTTGTACAGGAGGGGTTGCGTGTCGTCGCTCCCATCATCCTTGACTGGAATCAAGCTGCAGTAACATTTAGTTTTGTATCCTTGCTACATTGAGTGCCTATTTCGATGCGTGCGGGACTTTGTCGCGCTCTCCTAAACATTCACACTTATTGTCATTGCAAACCTATCTCCTCCTGGAGTTTTAAAGTTACAGCAGTGAGAGATATACCATTCGATTCGCAAATAAAAGATCTACAGACGTAACTAGGGCTTTTTTCAAGTTCGTTATAGTTTTGAAAATATTTTGAAAAAGAGGGGGGGGGATAGGGAAAATAAAAAAACTTTCGAAAATTTGGGGAAAATGCTCCCACACCCACAAAAATTAAAAATTCAAAAAAGTGGTAGTTACGTTTTTAGATATGGTCTTTGCGCATCGAATGATATGTGTCTCGATATTATAGCTTGAAAATCCTAAGAGGAGAGATTTCTACAGTACCCCTTTTTTGCTGTTTTCTACGAATTTCACGTTTTCTTTCATTTTTTTCGGGAAATTCACGCGAACAAAAAAGTCTTAGATTCCTGTTTTACATATGTGTACAAAGTTTCAGAGTGATCCGTCCGTAAATAGCCAAGATAAATTTTACCCCAGACGCTCCCCTTAAGTTTAGACCAGGAAATATTAACTCGCGTATTTGCTCTGGCCAACTAATAATGCTGAGGTATCTTAGCCTGAACCAAAACAGACTTTTGCATCATATGGATTATTTCACTGAGGATCAATACTTGAAGGTCAATTTTTTACTTTTTCTTTTTTTATTAGTTTTGCGAAGGTGGGTCAGCACCAGCATCAGGAAATGCTGCTGGCAGAGCTGGGGGATCTGGGGCATCCAGCTCCAAGCAATACATAGAAAAATCATTCAAGTCTGATGACTGTGAACAGTCGGGCAAAGCAAGAAAATCAATGCAGGAGAATAATAAATTCAAAAATTTGTGCAGAAGTGAACACCGATGCAAGCAGTTCTGTTCGAATTTATGTGCCACTGAAGCTGATCTCAAACAACACATTCTCCTATGTCGTCCGCAAAGAAATGAACAGAAATGCTCTCGAAGTAAATATGCTGATGGTTGCAAAAAAATCTTGAACAAGCATTGCATTTCTAAACGTTCATTAATAGAAAAGTTTTGCTGCTCTGAGTGTAATTATGCTTGCACCAAAAAATGGAATGTGAAAAGACATTTTCTTGTTAAACATTCAACGGAAAAACCTTTTCAGTGCCATGAGTGTGATTATGCTTGCACTATAGAAGAAAAGTTGAAAGCGCATTTTCTTGTGAAGCATTCTAAAGAAAAACCTTTTCAGTGCACCGAGTGTGATTATTCTTTCACCACAAAAGGAAGTTTGAAAATTCATTTTCTTTACAAACATTCAACAGAAAAACCTTTTCAATGCACCATGTGTGATTATGCTTGCCCCGTAAAAGGAGACTTGAAAAACCATTTCCTTGCAAATCATTCTACAGAAAAACCTTTTCAGTGCACTGAGTGCGATTATGCTTGCGCCAAAAAAGGTAACTTGAAAAAACATGTTATTGGGAAGCATTCTACAGAAAAACCTTTTCAGTGCTCCGAGTGTGATTATAGTTGTGCCACAAAACATCACCTGAAAAATCATTTCCTTGCCAAACATTCGACAGAAAAACCTTTTTTGTGCACCGAGTGTGATTATGCTTGCGCCATAAAAGCAACCTTGAAAAAACATTTTCTTAGGAAGCATTCTATAGAAAATCCTTTACAGTGCTCTTAGTGTGATTATGCTTGCATGTACAAATGGGAACTTGAAAAGTCATTTTCCACGCAGGCATTAACAGAGAAAGATCCATCCGTGCTATAAGTGTGACGATGTGTGTCGAAAATGCATGTTTGAGTAGCATCTGCTATCCAGAGGCTATCAGAATCTGCTTCAGTGACCCAGGTGTGAGGATGCATATTTATGTAGGAGAGCTTGAAACAGGAATCTAGTGCAGAACATTTGATCTTTTGAGAAAATAGGACCAAGCTATGTAGAGTACCTAACCCATGGCCCCACTGCCAACAAGGAAGAGATGCTTAGCTCTTCAATGCCCCTCGATGGTGGCAGTCGCTGGGGTTGGCATGGATTTGAAATGGAACAAAGAAGCCAGGATGACACCGGTCGCTGGTGCTCAGTCATAGGAGTCATATCATTCCTTTGGTTCCAAACGAGTGTTTGTATATTATTATTTCCTTTCATTGTGAATATTTCATTGTGAATTCCTATTTCATTGTGAATATTCTTTAAGAGGGGGCATGGCTAATTTAGGATTTTGGAACATAATTATTCCCCTCATAGTTTAACTTGATCAGCACTAAATTGACCTTGAATGCTGCGTGTTACGTATTTATTAATGATACTATTTTATGCTTTTTTATATGTCATAGCGTGTGTATTGATAACGGTATTTCTTCTGTGCAGTTACTGCTTGTTGTTTCTCATGCTCCTTATATCACACTTTAATTTACACTTGAATTTACATCTGAATTTGGGTATCTCAATTTGCTTATTTAACTCAATTTTACCGTCAATACTGTATAACCACTCGGCTGTGAACGGACAACCCATAATCCAGTATACTTTATATGTAGCACTGTTTTATTCTCCCATCAAATCAATTATAGAAATCATATGGTTGCCTGAGACACAAAGTGGGTCCTTCAGACTCCACCCGCATCCACGCGCCGGCAACAATATCTGCATGATCAGCCGCTAAACTCCCCATATCGGCCTGATAACTGCATTATCGGCCATGTATATCTACCCTTATCGGCCACTTATCTCCCCTTATATGCCTGATATCTGCGTTATCAGCCGCTTGTATCACCTTATCGGCGTGATATCTGCATTATTAGCCACTTCTCTCTCCCCTTATCGGGGGTGTACACAACACACAAGAAGGTGGTAAACATAAGATGCATAGCAGATGGCGGTGGGAACGCAGCCGTGGGCAACAAAATTGACTCGTAAACAGGCCCTGGGCCCAACGCCAACCATCAGCATGCAATATCTACACATAGCCTCAGACCAATGAGCTGTGGGTAACTCCGGCTAACAGTAAATCCGATTTGCACAACACAGCCACTGCTTCACAGCGCCGGAGCGCAACTGGCCGGAGCGCAGCAGGCCCTACCGCAACAGGCCCTACCGCAACAGGCGGCGCAGGTTAGGTTAGGTTACGTTAGGAGTAGCTGTTGCGGTAGGGTCCGTTGCGCTCCGGCCAGTTGTGCTCCGGCGCTGTGGACCAGCGCCTGTGACTAAACGGCGCTGTTGTGGTGGGCGCTATGTGTCGAAAACCGTGAAGATGCCCGGCTGCGTTACGC